TGCACTTATTAATGATGGTTGGTTTAGAAGGTACTGATTTATTTTGTTATGATTTTAGTGATGCTCTTAGTAAATTTCTTCAAAGTAAAGAACAGAAGAATAAAATAAAGAAAATTAAATTTGAAAAAAATTTTAGTACCCAAAAAATTTCTTTTTTCTTCCGGAAAATTCTTAGCATTCAGGAGGAATTTCCGTTTTTTTTCAGACCCTATTTCCAGCTCTGGTCCTGACAAGTGTAAAAACACTAGGCAATAACAAAAAAGTAAAAAAAAATTTTTTTGAAAACAACCCAGAACTTAAAACATGAAACAGCGATCATGTGTAACATTTGACAGTGAATTTTGATTGTAATGTTGTAATGTGAAAAATATGAAAACGTGTAAATTTTTTTAATATAAATATGCTATTTTACAATAATTTGTAACAATTACAGTGATGATGGATGATGTGACAGAATGTTGTCTAAATTTTTCAATATTTTTTTAAAAAAAATTCTCTCTAAAAAGTCTATGTATAAAAATAAAAACCACCTCCTAATGCGAAAAAAAATTTTTTTCTTAATGTTTATTTTATAGTTCATTAATATTCTCTTGAGCATCCACAAATTCATCTAACCCACCATCATCGTCATATTGAAATGATACTTGTAGTGATGGTGTTGTTAGAAATAGCAGTGGTGGTAGTGATGGAGGCAGTGTTTGCAACCACTGCGGTTGTGTTGATGCTGATGATGACATCTTAATTTCAACAACTTCTTTTGCATGATCATAATCGGCATCATTTTTAATATTTCTATTTACAAAACCTTTAGTATCATTGTCATCCTTTCCATCGTCATTTTTAAAATGATTATCTCCGTAATCTTCATTTTTATCATCCCCCTCGAATATTTCAATTGATTCAATCACTTCAAGTTCAGTTTCTGATGGTTGTAATTGGTGAAAAATGGTATTACCACTTAGTAAATATTTAGTATCTCTAGTAGTATCAGTTTTGAAAGTATTGATAACGGTGGAAGAACTATTATTACTACTATAATAATAACTATTATTTACGGAAGAGAGATCAGGAGTAGAATCGGGAGTAGAATTGGTAACGGCCATAGTAAAAGGTCGACTATTATTTGATTCGAGAACCAAATGTTTGGAAAAAGATTTTTTTTCTTTACAAAAATAGTTATTTGATGATGATGATGATGATTTATTAATATCATTATCGTTATCGTTAACATATTTTCCTTTTCCTTTTCCGCGATCATTATTATCATGGATTGTTTTTCTTCTTTTCCAATAAGTTTCATCTCCAATTATTGTAAAACATAAATCTTTTTCCATAAACTCACGATAACAAACAAATCTAGACAACTCTAGACAAACACGTTTGATACGTTTGCCAACCGTCATGGCAACTTGAATAATACGGTCTCTTGTGCTGGCTTTATATGGAATCATAAGAACTAAATTGTTACGAAAACGTACATCGGTCTGTAGTTGTGATGTAAGAGCAGCAATTTTGACTTGAAGTTCTTGAATCTTTGTCTTTGATGATAGGAAGTTAAAGTAAATAATTCATAAAAAATAAAAATAATTAAAAAAGAAAGAAAATTAATTCATACTCTTAAAACATCGGCTCTACTTTTTGCGTCATTAGTGTTTATTTCGTCATCATTTTGATAATTGAAAAAAGTCTGAGGTTGGCTTTTTTGTTCATGATTTACCTGAATATTATGTTGTTGTTGTTGCTGTTGTTGTTGTTGTTGTTGCTGTTGTTGTTGCTGTTGTTGTTGCTGCTGCTGTTGTTGTTTTTGCTGCTGCTGCTGCTGCTGTTGAATTCCGGTATTTCTAATTTTTATGCCAACAGTTTTAAATGTTGCTGCATAATTAATTTTCACTATCCAATCATTCATTTCATTTTTATTTTCTGCCTGAAAAAGATATTGATCACCTTTTGACAAAACTAAACGAAAAACATTTGGATATTTTGTATAACTTTTATCATATACTGCAATAGAATCCCCTGTCATAAGGATCAAATTAGGTTTAAGGACTGGGAGAGTTGCATTCTTCTACAAAATAATATGTAAATGATATGAATATATTTTATTGTGAAGGAAAAAAAACTTGTCAATTCATTATTATTACCGATGATAGGTCATTTAATTCGCTAATCTTTGAATTAATCCAATTATCAATTCTGAAAAACATTAACTGACTTCCGCTCAATATGACACCAAATTCTTTCCAATTTCTTGTGAAATTAGCTCTTTTACCACCTTCAAGCAAATCTATTTTACGGCCTAACCTTCCGGTTTTTGTGATTTTTAATATAAACGTTCTATCATTTTCGTCTAATGGCTGTGACGAAGGACATATTGGATTGCATGCAACATTGCCATCGCCACTATTACTGCCATTGCAATTGCTATTGATAATTCTACTACATCTTTTAGTTCTTACACCTGTTATTTTTATTGTGCGTGCTGATGTAAATGCTTGATGAATATTAGTTGTATTTAATTGTGACAATGTTCCTTTGTAAGAATAGGGATTTTCAAGTGGAACTAGATCAACAATATCTGGTTTAAATTCCGTTACTGTTTTCTGGAGGTAAAAGAAAAACCATATTATAATCAAAATTGTATCGAGTGAACATAACTTTTGCTTTTAATAAAAACAAACAAGAAAGTTATAATTTACATGCTCAATCACATAATATGGATCATTTTTTATAATTTTCCTATCTTTTAAAGATTTAAAAAGTCTTGAACATCTTAAATCGGCAGGCGGCGAAAGCATTTTTTGTCCATTAACATCAATGTCATCATCAGCATAAATAAATTGGGCAAATGTTATATTATCATAAAGTATCTAATTAATAATTAATTATTATTATTATTATTATTATTATTATATGTATATATATAATATTGCATGCATTAATGAAATACCTCAAGAATCTCTGACGGAACGCCATCTATAGTTGTATTCTTTATGAATTCTTCTTTAGTCATTTTTCGCTTTACATTTTTGTTAAATGCATCAGTATGAAGCATCAGTAGTGAAAATGAGAGCATATAAGAAACATCTAAAAAAAAAATTTTTTTAAATTTAAAATTGATTAATCAAAGATTTCCGAGAAAACATTTGTATTTCATATATATATATATATATATATATATTAAATAAAAAATTACCCGATGTAGGAAATAAAGAAGGATTACAATCATGATATCTTTTTGCAAACGCTTCGATAACACGATCAATCTGCTGTGATTCTTTTGGAAGGTGACATTCCATAAGAAATTTTCTATAAATCAAAGGTTAGTAATAATAATGAAAGGTTTTAATTATAATTATCAAACCCCTCCTCCATTTACCTTAATGCAATATCAATTGGGTCACTTTCAAAATCAAATATTTCCAAATATGTATGAAGCACCGATTCATGAAACACATCCTTACTATAGACCAATAAAATACGAATATAATATGAATAATGTTATTGACAAATTGCAAGAGAATAACAGAGATTTTTTTAAAAAAAATAATTTAAACCTTTTTGCAAGAAGAGTAATCAATTCAGATTTTGACAATGTATCACGTAACTTATCGAGGTATTGTTGAGGTGTTTCATTAATTGATCTATTTAATGGTAAAGAGTCTATTTTTTTTGTATTCGAAAGATCGTACATAGATTTAGAAGCAGGATTTTTTGTGGAATTAATGGGAATTTTCTGATTGTCATTTTTTACATCTCCTTCTTTTTCGATAGGAACATCACTAAAATTTGGCGCTGATATTGTACGTTTACGATTAAACTTTATTGATTCCAGAGTATCAGCAAATGTATTGCTTTCGCTAGTTTTGCCATTGTCGTTTTCTCTATTCTTACTATCTGGACGAGGTGATTGATCATGATCAATTGATAAGGATGAAAAAGAATTGGAAGACGATGATGTTGACGTAGATTTTGATGATAGTATTGTTGAAGTTGATGACGTTGATGTTGATGCAGATTCTAATATATTTAATAAACTAATGTTGAATTTTAATGCCGATTTTTTTAAAGATAAATCAAGATTTTTTTCAATTTTAGAAGGGGAGGTTTTGGTTTTAGTTATTGTCGTAGTGGCAATTGTTGTAGTAGCCATTGTCGTTGAATTTTGGTCTTTGTTGTTAATATTATTATTGTGTAAAGGATTGTTCATGAGAGAAATATTGGTTTCTCCATTTGACCACGTTTTTGAAAGAGAATTGAAAGTTTCAGAATTATTAATGTCTATATTAGTATAATTATTATTGTCAATATTAATGTCATTGTCATTTTTGTTACTATTATTGTTATTATAGTTCAAATTATTGTTTGAAGTTGTATCTAGGGTAATTTTAATGTTCGAAGAGAACATTTTTATGGAAAAACATGAAATATAAAGTTAGAAAATATTAGTAATTTGCAAACTATCATTTTGTACCACCGAACAATAATGGGTAGTCCTGCCTGATCCCTGCTGCCACTATACCTCTTATTATTATTATTATTTTACTTTGTACGCTCATTTAAGAAGATATGCTAGCTTTTTTTTTATTATTATTGTTATTATTTATTATTGGTCATTAATAATAATCATTATTATTGGTTCATTAATTATCATTATTTGCAATTTCAACAGTGAATTGAATGTTTGGGAAGATAATTTAAATGTTTTTGCTCTTTTCATCAATAAATCAAATCCACAGTTTTTGTAATATATAACGACGATATTGAAGTCCTTTGATTAGGATAGTCGGTCATATTAAAGGTTTGATTAGCGGTTAATTTTTTCCGGCCTGTTAAGAATCCTAAGGAATAAAAAAGTCTGCCACGAAGCCACATTATATAAGAATTAAAAGTTAATTTGACGTATGTACATTTATATTATCAGGTCAAAACAAAGACTACATATGATGATGGATTGATGACAACATATACACACACATACGACGATCTTCATGAATGATTCAATCATAATTTAAATCTGTTTTAGTTCTAATTTGGGCCTTCTAAGTTTTTTTTTTGATTCCTTTTTTGTACTCAAACCATCACACAAAGCAAAGATCGTCGCTCTTGAAGGATTAATTAGAATGTTGAATAAGAACAATCATAATAATAATGGTTCGGGAACTGGTGCTTTAATAGAGGAATAAAATTTACATTTGATTTTGAATCCATTAATTTTGAATTTAATGCCAATCAATAGCAAATTTCAATAAAAATTTTTTTTTATTTTTAAAAAATATAATTGTATATATATTATAAATATATATATTTTAAATCACACACTGTTAATAATAATAATCATTTCAATTAAAATGTTTGTAAACTTCTTTAAATTTATTCTATCTATCTATCTGTCTGTCTGTACCTGATATATATATATATATATATATATATACACATATATACATAAATTATATGTAATATAAAAATAAACAAATATAAGAATAAAATAAAGATTTTACATTATATATATATATATATATATCAGATATAATACATAAGCTGTTTAAAATTGCTCAAAAATAAAGCCGTTTGTGGTGTCCAACATTCCAAATATTTTTGCCCTATCAACTTCAACGCCGTCTTTCTTGACAACAAGGTATTTACCTATAATAGATTTGGTTTTGTCACAAATGCTAAGTGGAGCTCTCTGTATTTTTAAAGATACCACATATAAAGCGTTATTGAATATGGGAGCTGTAAGATCATAAACTAATTTGTTTTCGTCATCAATCAATTCCATATTGTAAAGTGGTTTTGATGGATCTTCGGGATCCTTTAGTCCATCCAATCCTATTTCAGTTGCCAATATGGCGTTAACGACCACTTCTTTACCACCAGATGCCTCTATGAAACTTATATATCCAAAAAGATTATCTGTGTTCATCTTTGGATAAAATTCCACTTGTCCCATCATATGACAGCCACTTCTTGAGAAAGATTCTGGATATACTTTGTCTGTTGGGGCTGGTGGTGGTACTGATGATGGATGAGGTTGTGTTATAGTTAACGAATTTATTGTTGAAATTGTGAAAAAAAAAATAAACATTAAAATTGTTATTGCATTTTTATTATTCTTGAATGGTATCGAAGATGACGTAAATTTGTACATTTTTATATAATTTTATATATTTTATTGCGCAAAAGATTGTTGAAAAAAAAATTAAAAAAAATAAATGTAATGTTAATTTTGTTTGTTAATTTTTATTAATTTTTTTTTTAAAAAAAAAAATTATCAAAGGAATAATACAACGCTATTTAAATATTAATTTTATTAAGGCTATAATTGGATGATTGTATTAAGATTGGGTGATTGACATTAAAATAAGCTATGGATTCTATTTTTGGAACACGTATTAACAACCGGTTGTTATAACTTTTCACGATCCCGTTAATACACTATTGTACCTTTTGTGCCACTCATTACCCTTTGTATATACAAACGAATAAAGTAAATTTCAATGTAAAAAAAAAAATTCAAATTCTATTTAAAGATTTCACAATTACTATATAAGGGATAATGCTGTTGCAGATTTAGGGACGTGTTTTAGGTTCATTCATGGGTCAGCAGTAATTGTTAAAATCTCAATTTTGAAGTGAAATGTGACGAATGCCATTTTTGAATGACTGGTGCACATCAAATTCTCCGTGATGTTTTCCGACAACGTTTAAAAATTCCGGAATTTGTTGGAGGATTTATGTAACAATAGTAGTATCAAACAATCCAATCAATTTTAAAAAAATAAATTTGGTTTTTTAAAATCACACACAAACAAAACATTCGCATATTAATTATACAGATAAAGTATTTTTTTCAAAAAAGGTATTTCCTTTTTTTATTTAAATGAGATTTTCTTGGAGATTTTTCATAATTTTAATTAAATTAAAATTTATTTGTGTCTCCCATATTTTTTTTCAAATATAAATCGAGTACCTTTTGTGCGCTGACTATAGCTTTATAATACTCTTTTCAATATATATACAAAGTTCATTATTATTATTATTATTATTATTTATTATTATTATTATTATATTATTTTAACCATTTTTGTTACACGAATCTTTAATTTTATTTACCCGTTCATAGAAACATAATTAATATTTACTACTTTTGTCAAAAAGGCTTGATTATATTTAGAAACCGTGCAACAATAAATTCTTTATCCGGAAAATTTTTCATTCTGACAAACTTCCCGACAAAAAAATCCACCAAATATATTGTTAATCGATAATCCCTTACTTGATGGTTCTCCAAAGATATAATACATGCACTATTACTCTATATATCACTATAAGAAGAGGATCTTAATTTTATTTTTATTTTTTGAGTTGATTATAAAAAAAAGTGAAACTTCAGACACTGGCTATAAATTTTTCGAGGCTATTGAATCTACACGTCAAAGACTGATAGGAAAATATGGCTAACGCCAAATAAATAAATATTCGCTGTGTCGTTATTATCATTCCTTAATGTTAATGATACTAACTGAGTTTTTTGGTTACGTTAGTTAATAAGATGGAAATTATTTTTTTGAAATAAATGCCTTTTTATATTTTGAGATAAACGTTTTCCTCTTTAACTAAAGCTAACAAACTACATGGAAAAAGAAACCAAACGTGTATACATGAGCATGCCTCTTGATGTTCCGGTGTGGATAAGCGGAATTAAAAAATCCTGGCCAAGAAGGAAACTTTTCATAAAATAATGACCGCTGTCGAAATTGGTACCAGAAGATTTAGCCCATCACCAGGTTTTGTTTGATCCAGAGATTATAATAAAATCACCAAGAAAGATAAGGCGAATTCTGAGAGTTGAAAGGTTGGATAATTTGCTGAGGAGGATCCGAGTTTTGAGAAATGAGAAGATTCGATCTTAATCACTCACCTTTGTTGAACAAGTAGAGGTATGTTGGTTGATGGTGTAAGATTTTATTTATAGTAGTAACATTGTATTAGGTTATTGGAATAAGTAAAATATAGACTCTTTTGAAAAAAGAAACAGATTAGTTATCATTAAATTGGCCTTTATATGTCTTTTATATAGTTGAGAAAATTAGATGATCATCGAAATTAACCGGTGAATGAACTCAAAAGTTTTAATTGCCGATCCATTCATAAATCATAGCATTTGGACAAAAACCGTCCCTGGGACTCTTTAACCAAAATTGGGTTTTTGCATAATAATGAACTCATAATAATAAGGATTGGTGAAGGTTTACAAAAAAAAGGGAAAGAATTTTTTTATATTTAATATCACGTAACATGTGATGCCACAATATGATCTATAATAGCCTCAGAGGCGGTTGTTTTTTGCCATTTTGTCTTATGGGTGCATGGTGCGAAATCCTATTACTATGAAAAAATTTAGAATGTCCTATATATAGAATCGGCCATTACGTGTATAAATTTTTAGATTAAACCTTGGTCCGATATTTTTTTTGGAGATTCCAAACCGGCATTCTCCAGATATTTTCATTCTCACCTGTTGGGGCGTTAGTTACATAATCAAATCTAAGAGAAATCGAATATATCAACTCTTTTGTACTACGTAAATACACTGATAAAATTTTATTGAGAGGCTATATTGGACCGTGTGGCGCTTTAATAACAGTGGGAATTTTTAAAAAGTTTATAACTCCAGAAGCAGAATTAATAATAGCTACAGAAAAATTAAAATCAGGGACCCCCTTTTTCGTAGATTAGATTAAAAGAAATTTCATACATAACTTTTATCAGATGATTACTTATTACACACACCATTTCAAAAAATTTTTGAAGCAGTGCGATAACAAATTCATATTCTGAGTTAGCCATTTCAACAATATATACGTTTCCATTAACCTAATGAAATTTGCATACAGTTAATTCGTTGCAGTCAAGAAAATTATAGTCTTCATTGAAAATTCTGACTAGACCTAAAAGAGCAAACAAATCATACAAGTTAGCATTGAGTGGATCTTCAAGAAACCTACGTGAGATATACTCACCTTTCTTCTCTTCTTCTAAGAGAGACTTTGGCAGTTATAGACTATGTTATTCAACTTTATATTCTTTACTTTCCTTACTGTTGATTACCAACTAGAGCTTGAAGTGCTTAAAAACAGACGTTTCGAGAGAGTGATTTCGTAGCGAAATAATATAAAAAATTAATCAATGTGATAATTAACCTTTTTTTTATTCGTTGTCGTAATCCAATCATTGTGTTATGTGTCATAATACCAAACTTCTATTGGAACAATCCAATTATTCTCATGTAATTCTTTCTTGAGTTGATCTCGTGCTTGCTGTTTAATAAAATTATTCGGTTATCATCTATGAAAGAGTATATTTTCATGCTGTGGTCCTTGCACTTCAATTGCAAATCCGTGTTCTGGATAATAAATATCTAGTTCTAATCCTGTTGGGTGTTCAGAAGTTTTCAAGAAATCAGGTCTGCGGATTGGTGATGGAAGTCCCAAATACTTGGTAATTATTTTTCGACATGTTTATTTCGGCAAAATGGACACCAAATACTAGAATGTTTTTTTATGATTAAAATCTGTATCCCATACATGTCCTTCAGTGAATATACATACTAGACAAAAGTATTTGATCACATGTTTACCCTAATTAGTAAAAAAACTACATTACAGAATTTATACCATAGGTTTTGATAAATATACAGTGTGTTGCAAAAAAAACCGGAAAATTACTGTTGTCAAAAAACTTTTTATAATATTACTAAAAATTCATCAACTTGACTCCAATAAATTTTCAAACAAAGCTTTTCTTTTTTAAATCATTTTAAATCATTTTCTAACTGAATCTGGCAATTAGCTGTTGAGTAATTTGCTTTTAAAAGTCACAATATGGTTGGATTTTACTTGCTTTTTTGCAATTATGTTATTAGAATAGATGAGATACGTTTACCTAATAAATACACCAGATTGTTAACACTCCATTCTCAAATAACCATTTCAATGTTAATAAGTTGTATGAAACGGGCGATGTGACTTATAGTAGAGTTAATCGTTCGAAGAAACGGAATCACTTTTGGAATCACGTGACATATCACAATTTATTATTATTATTATGTACTAGATTTCTTTAAAATTTTTGGTAATCAATTATAAATAATTTAAAATTTAAAAGATGTGAGACGATTCATCATAGAAAAGTGGAATCCAACTCCTGATTTATTTCTAATCAATTTACTTTGATAAAAAAATCAAGATGTTAGCCTGTAATTAAAAATCAATAGTGAAAGTATTTCGTATTAAAATATATTTAATAAAAAGTTCTGCCCTTAACCTATCGAATGGAAATACAGAACAAACTTTTTTGAATGTCCCGATCAAGACGATTTTTTTTTTCTAAAAACAATAGTTCTTTCTTTGTTAAAATCTTTCTCGTTAGTTGACCAAAAAATAATGGTTTATTATTTGTTAAGATCCCTTTCATTAATTAATCGAAAAAGTAATAGATCTTTATTGTTTATTAATTATCAATTAATAGCAATGGCTTATTTGTCTGTTCTTCTCATTGATTGATCGAAGAAATAATATTTATTGTTTGCTAAGATCTCCCCCATTAATTGATCTTAAAATATAACGATTTTATTTTAGTATAACGATGACATGCATTTTTGTATTTTCACGATGACAAAAAAAATTGGAAATAGCAATTAACTGACAAGAGTAATCCCAAAAGTTAAGCCATAATCGGTCATAGCTGTTAAATAATTGGCGTAAAAGAGCGAAGGCATGTCGTAGTTGATTGTTTTCTAATTAAAAACTAGTTCCTAATGAAAAGCAAGGCATCGTTACACGACGAATCTTTTACCAGACAATACTTTCATATCGGGATTTAATTATAGAACTCAATCAACTAAATCAAAATCAACTAAATCATGACTCGCTGTGTCAATATGGACAATTAAAATAATTAAAAAGATTTGATTTCTCTACACTGCATTGACTAATAATTCAGTTAATTAACCAATGTGAAGGAATTCTTGATTTATTCATTTTTTTTTTTTTTGTTATTAATTATTGTATTATCAAAAAAAATTATATTTATATATATATATATATATTAGAATTATTTTTTTTATCCATTTATTATTTTATCAACCAAATCACTTGCTAATAATGCATTTATTTTCATTTTTTCTTTAGTAATATTTTGAAATGAACCACATTCCATCAAATTAGAAAATCCAAGCTCTTCAAGATACGATGGCATTTGTTTTTTACTACCCTTTAACTGGAGTTCAGTTTCCGATGATACAATTGTGTAAAGAATGGATTGGACTGAATCAAGAATCGATATCGTCTCACAATTATTTATCATATGTGCCAATTTGGGACGCAAATTGTCATATCTGTTAATAATAGTGATGATAATGATGTTATTTTTATTAATCTGTGTTAAGGAAAATTTGAATTTAAACATGTAAATAATTAAAATGTAAAAATGAAAAAAAAGGATACACTAATGAAAAAACATCAGGTAGTGCTTTAGCAGTTTCGGCCAAAAATCCATAAAGGAACAATTTTTCAGACTCGTTTTCTGCATTATCTAAAATTGCTATCATCAATGAAATTAATAGAAAAGCGACTTTGTCATTTGGTATGTCCAATTTATCATACATTCTAAAATAGGTTGTTGTTAATTCGGGATTATCAATCTCGCAATCATCAATTCCACAAAGCCATAACAATTCTTTCATATCCTGGTTATTGGCCGATACTGGCAACAATACTGCGAGATAACCTAGCATACTAGCATCTATAATGTCATTTTGACGTTTATTCCCAACTCTAGATGCTATGTCTAAAAATGACATTAATAAACTTTGAGTACCAGTTTTCGTGATTGGATTTTTCAATCCTTTAAGTAATGTAGCTGCAATCGCGAATGAAAAATACTCAAAATTTAACCCTGTTTCGCTGTCCATTTTTATGCTGATTTCTTCCAATGGAATTCTAGCATTTAGAAGTACTTTAGCAATATCTTTATTTTCAAAGACCTTATTGTTATCTAGAGCCCGTAAAACTTCTTGTAATAATGATATTCCACTTGGAAATATTGGAACATGACCAATTTGAATTAGTGAAATGGCTAGCCAAAATAATGGTAACAAATAACGTGAACCTGATGGTAAATTTTCTACAATGTTTGTAAGACACATAACAATGCTTATTATAAGCAAACAATCATTTTCTGTAAACATTAACAATGCTCCTCTCAATGCTACCAATATTTGATATAAAAGATCATCATCAACTTCTTCACGTGCCAAACATCCTAACGTTACAAATGCTCTAGGTTGTATTGCTGGATTATGTTGAAAAGCTGTACTTGCAACAAGCCCCAACCAACGTGCTCTCCATACATTTGACATATCTATATATATATATATATATAGATGTATGTGAAGCATATATATCAATTCAGTTTAATATTTATATTATAAAATCTAATACATAGGTAAAAAATTAGTAAACATTTATTATTAACCCACCAGCTGAAGCAGAACCAAATATCATCACATCCAAAAGAGCTTGAACAATCTTTTCTAATGATGCTAAAGGCATACTATCTGATATATCATTAATAGATTCTGGAGAAATCACAAAGGCATTTCCAAAAACATTGTTTAATCCAAAAAAGTAACGGTAATTAGGTTCAGATAATTCATTCAATAATAAACTGAGTTTTTTCATATTGGAATCTTCTAATGGAACTGATGTACACAGTGATTGAACTAAGTTTACAATAAGTCCATGAATTGATGTCCTTATAATTGGAGGGCCAGTTGCTACCAAAATCGAAACAATATAAAATAATTCAGGCAGATATTGGTGAATATTTTCATCATTAAACGATAACATTAAATTAAATCGAACCAAAGCTGCAATTTCAGGCCATGCAGGGTTGTCTGTAAGGGTTCTTGTTGCTTTTAAAGAAGTTCCTGCAATAACCTAAATATATATTATTAATAGAAATTTTGAAAATAAATTCTGATCTAATCCCTCACACACATTAATTTAGGTACCTTTCTCAATTTGGCTATTACTTTTCCACGGATGCTTGGTGAAGAGAAAGTTACTATGGTATTGGCTACAGTTTCAGATTGCATAGAATTTATACCATGTTCAACAGCATATTGCAAAAATTCATCAATTATTAAATCGGTAATTTCATTTACTTTGGCTAAAGTACTCCAAATTTTAGATTGAACCGTGGTATATAACTAATATAAAATATTATCAAAAAAGGTTTTAATTTAAAATTTAAATGATCTAAAGAATAACATTATAAAAATTCATACATTAGTTTCTCTTGCTGTCAGATCAATCAGTTTTTGGATTATGTCTCTTGTTTTATCAACTGTTTGCGGATTTCCTGATGGATTTTTAATAAATTGACCTAAATTTAACAACCAAGGAGCCATATATTGAAGACATAAATGTTTTATCGGCACACTTGACTTATTAAAACCAACAAAAAATTCCATTAGAAAATCAAGAGTAAGTCGACTTTCTGAAGCAGCAAGTTTTTCACTTATTCCAACTACAAAATTTGTATTGTTTGCTGGAATACATAATCCTAAAATATTGATGACGTATATATATTATAATTAATTATTAAAAAAAATAATGATATGATGATGATGATAAAATTCAAGTATACCTTTTGTGGCCAATAATTGATTTCCCATATCAAAATTAAATACATTACTTAAAGAAACTAACAAATTATATGCAGCTAGTCTAAGGTTAGGATCTTCGCTTATAATATTGAATAATGCCATATTTAACAAAGTTCCTGGTACATCATTTGGTCTCAAAATTCTTTCGGTGTCTTTAATGGGTTTTGCTATCTGGTATCTTGCTTTAGAAGTGCGAATGGCCTTAAAAGAATGTAAATTGAAGAAAATAAATATATAAAAAGAAATATTAAAATTATAGCTGTATTAGAAAATTTGTTATATTTTACCTGGATAATTGTGTCCCTTATTTGACTTGTAAATGTAAATGGTCTACCATTTTGTTTAATTGAAAATTCATTGTTATCACTTTCATTAGATGAAAATGTTATGTCCTCAATCTCTGATATATGAAATACATCGTTAAGTTGACAGCTCAATCCAAAAATTAAATCTTGTTTTTTGGCCTATTATAAAATTACATAATGTTGAAATAAAAAATTGATAAAATTTTAACATGATTTTAACAATCCCTACCGTTATAATTTGGATATTTTCACTACTAATTTTCATAATCACTTGTGTTGGTGTTTTATAATGTGCTAATTTTAAAATTTGACTATATGATGTAAGGGTATTATCTGTATCAAGTTGTACTAAATGAATCGTAATATTATTTAATTAGATTATAAAATAACTTTATAAATTTATATAATCATTGAATTGTTTAGCTAGCTAACCTGTGTCTTTTGGTAATCGAACTTCATGTGGCGTAATATATTCATGTAATTCATTCAAACTGCATAGAAATACTATTTTTTTTAATAATTTGTTAGAAAGCGGATGTATATCTTAATTAAAGAAATATGCATTTTACTCTAAACAAAAATATAAAATTTTGATTTATAAAAAAAGGATATATGGAAATTTTTTGGAGAAATTCCTAAAAGCTGTATTTGCATTATAAAAATATAATGTAGTTAGGTTATCAACGGTATGGAATGGAAGAATTAGAATAAATTGTTGAATCCATTGAGATTGTATTTCATTAGATTGCCCAGATTTAGTCAAGTCAATGAGAATTTCATATGGTTTGATCATAAATGGCTCAATAGTCTACAAAAAAAAATACAATAAAATAATCTCAATCAACTTATTCAATAAATATAATACAACACCACAGAATCCTAATAAACACTTACATGTAAAATATGATACATCAAAAGATCCATATCTATGCAATCGGGCTCAAGCCTACGTAAAATTAAATAAAATATGGGCCTTTTTTCCTAAAAGAAAAATTATTTTAGTTCCTATTTTAATTTTATTTATTTTGTTTTTATTTAAAACAAAAGGATAATATAAATTTATAACTAACCTTTGAAATACCTCCTTTGTAAAATATTTCTTTAGATACTATTGAATCAATATTTCTATTTGCATTTCTACGCATAAATTCTGAAAAAAGCTGATTATTTGTTTCAAAATGATTTGTTCCAATGACAGCAAAATCTTTCTTCTGACTTTCAACTGGTGGACCAATTTGTGCAAGAAGGGTTGAAATTTTATCCCAAGTCTTTTTATTTGCATGAATACAATCTAAAGATATATTGTTGTGCCCTGTAGAGCTAATAGATTTTACCCTACATGTTTGAAGATCTTTGGCAATCCTTTCTTGATTTTCAACAAGATGTCTATGGAATGCTTTCTGACTAGCATCACTTAATCTATTTATATTAGATGCCTCCCTCGGTTCGTGTTCGGCAAGTGTATTAATAGGTAATTCCTAAATTAGAGAAGCTTGAATTTAGCAAAATTAAAATTATGGTGATTCTTATAAAATTTAATGCAATTTGTGTTTTACTTTAGAAATTTCTTCAAGAAAGGCAGTCATCTTAAGAATATTATCACCCAAAAAAGCATTCAACATAATCATATGAGGTTCTTTTGCACCAAAAAGAACATTATTTGCCAGATTCTGTATAACCTTGGTAACTAGCAATAATGTTCGGCGGATTTTCGCATTTTTAATAAGATCTTCATTATTTGGTGCCGCAATAGCTGGGTTAAAAAATCGAAGAAATATAAAAGCACCAATAGTTGTATATTTTGCCTGTGGATATTTTTCTTCTACAGATTTTCCAATACAATGACAAACTTCTCGAAATAATCTAAATGTAAACAAACAAACAAGCAATTAAATATATTAAATATATTACAATATATATATATATGTATACACACAAATAATTACATTGGCATATTACGTCCTGATGCACATATACCATCTAAAAATGATTTAGTAGTGTTTATCAAATTCTGTAAATTTTTTGAAATGTCTTCGTCAGGTCCTAAATTTGCAGGATTAAGTTCACAACTAAAATCTTTTTGTTGATTTAACAAATTTGCCAAAAGTGGCTGTAACGTGTTATGTAAATATTCAGCTCCATAAGTTTTGCAGAAGGCTGCCAACACACGAGTGGCCATACAATTGCGACGGAACAAATCTGACTCGGATTCTTGAAAATAATTATTAAGAGTTGAGACAAACAGATAAATTAATTATAAATGAATATTTTTATATTTGCTTTAGGACTATATGATTAAAATAATTCAATCAAATAAATCAAGTACCTGTATTTGTTACCTCTTTTTCAATAATGGCTTTTAGCAAAGACATGGTTTTATGACGTGAATCAAAAACAGCAAAAAGTACTTGGGAGACTTCATCAATATCAGACACAGGACAGACTTCACAAAGAGAAAGTGCAATACTCAAATCAGAATCAGTTATTAACTATGAAAGATGTGAAAATCAAAAAAAGGACACAAAGTAATAAAAATTAATTTTAATTCATGAATAATTAATAAATTTAAGAGAAGAGAGTGAACCCATTAAATACCTCCACAAGTTTATCAAATCTATCATTCATTGCATTTTCTGCAAGTCCCTCAAATTCAGTGCCCTGATTTAATATGTTTGTAAGTACTTGCATAAAAGCAGTTTTTGTCTTGGTATCTTCATGGTAACCCATTGAAAGAGAATGCTTTAATCCTGAATCCACATTAGCACTAAGTAAATTACTTAAAGCCAAAATAGCGTAATCTTTCAATGGACCTAGATCTTTGACAAATTCTTTAGACTACAAAAAAGGAAACAATAAAATAAATTTTATAATAAAATTTTAATTGAACAAAACTATACATTCATATATACATATTTACCCTTGACAAAAGCAATTGTAAATCATGATTATTTTTTGTGGATTGTGTTCCGCTATCAATGGCCTTTAAATAAAATAAAAATTTATACACAATTATTTATTTTAATTTATTTATTTTGAAAGAAGAAATTAACTTACTTCTAAAATACGACATCGATTTAACAATTTTGTGAAAAATGCGAAATATTTATAAAATAAATGTGATTTAACAATGCTAAGATCTGCTTCATGTATTGTCTCTGATGGTTGCAAGGGTAATTGTGCCAAAATAGAAACAATTGCTTTTAAACAAGCCCGATCTAAATCATAATGCATTCGCTCATTCTTACTCAATGCAATATCATTGTTACTTTTCCCATCAGTTTTCTATTTGGAGTTTAATGGCACAAAATGTGTAAATATGAGATTGAGAAAAATCAACCAAATAATTAATATATATATATCATTTTACCATAGAACAACCCACTGTCCAGTCAATAAATATTTCTAATAACCTATTTCTTAATTTAATCTCTTGTCGAAGGGTAATATAATCTTTCTTGATCATTAATACTTCAGCAAGTTGGCACATCTTTTTTTTGATACGAAGTGCCACACTACTGGATTCCAGTCTATTTAAATATTGGGCAAATGATAAAACAAGTCCACCAAGATCAACTGTATATAAATTTTCAGATGCATCTTGAATACGTTCAAGTATCAATCTCAAAATAGATATTGCTTGTTCCACAAAAATTGTACGTCTTTCATTTGACTTTGCTTCTCCATCTGCATCAAAAGATCTTGAAACAACTGACTCAAGATTTCGAAAAAGAATAACATATAATCTTGGGCTCAATTCTGAACCAAGCACCTCCCTAACATTTTCACGAACATAAATTGTATCACATACTAACAAATCAAACATTTCTTGAACAAATTGTTCGGCCATTGAATGATAATCAGATCCTCGAGGACCTACAATTATATGTTCATTATACTCATTTCCTAAAGAATCATAAGATTTGCCATCACCATTTATATTTATCTGCTTTTCATTAACACAGCACCCTCCCATTGCTGCAAGAAATCCAGTGTAATTTAGCCATTCATTTGATTGAGACTATAGATTGTTGAAATAAATATAATTTTAAATTATTTTCATACAGAAGCATACACACAAAAAAAAAATTAAAGAATTACGCATGGCATTAATAACTTACGTCTGTAGGCACTACACTAAATTGATTAGTTTGTCCAAATTTTGGCATTCTTTTTTTGCTCATATCTTCTGATATTATTTGGTCATCTGTTGACCTTGCAATCAATGGTGTCAATACTTTCCAACGTTTATAAACTTCTTCCCATGCCGCAAGATTTCCAGGAGTGGGTACCTTTATCAAACGAAGTAACTTTCTTATGTGTCTTTGTTGTGCTATTCGTCCTATAAAGTATTTTATTATTGTTGTTTTCTTATTTTCTTAAAAAAATCCAAAATCCCATAATTTTTTTATTACTAATAATATATTACCTGGAACTATGTATGATCTTGAAGATAACTCCAAATATACATCTATATTTTTTATAATTGGTAATTCTGAATGTGGAACAGCTTGAACATCTACTTCATCACCTATAAGTTCAGTAGTTAACAACTGAGCCTCTTGACATAAATGACCAAAACAACTCATTGACATTGAACAAATTTCTGTGTCTGATGAGCATAACAAAACTAATAATGCAACTTCAAGTACAATATTACAACCAAGCCTTTCAGGTATATTAATGCCAATGTGAGATTCATCCTTTTATATTTTTTTATTTATTTAAAAATTATTTTTAAAAAAAAGGCATTTTAATCAATGATGTCAAAACATTAAAAATATGATATAATATAAAAAATACCTTATGAGCTTTTAAAAATTCATTATGTCGTTTAAATAATTGAAGTAAAAGACCAAGCAAATATTTTGTACTCTCTTCGGATTCTTTATATTCCAATGTTTGTCTAGCAATAGCTAACATAACTTGTGAACTAAAGAAATTGAATGCTCAATTAAATATTAAAGTATTTTTTTTTTTTTTTAAAAAAAAAATAAAACCAAAACCAAAAATTACTGTACCTAATAACCCAAAAACTACGCATCCTTTTATCATTTGAACTCCATTGTTCAATATATTTTAAATCGTGTAGCTTTATTAATGTTTCAGCTGCAGTGGTGCGAATTACAGGATTGTGATCATTTACACATAAAGTCATCCCATAAATGACCCTTCGAATCTCATCAGGGTTCTCATTTGCATCACTATGCTAAATTATAATAGATTTATCATTAAAAGTTTTAAAATGTGTTTATCGATTAATTTTAGAGCATGGAGGGAATTATTAGTTTTGTAACTTACTACAAGTACTAACAAAGGATCAGATTTATATAATTTCAAAATTGTTAAAATAATTTCCATTCTCTCATTAATTTCATCTGGTCTTTCTCTTGTTTGCTTCTTTTTCTTAACATCTAACCTATCACGACTGGTAATATATTGATGAAATAAATTTCGAAGCGGTGTGGCAAGAACAGGATACATTGTTAAAAGCTGCGGGTTCCAAGGAAATTTATTTTCCTTTTAAAATTATTAAGTTATTTAAAGTCTGAGAAATACTCTAAAAAAAAAGGAGAACAGTGTTAAATAAACATAAAAATTATGACTATACCTCTGAAGCGATAGCATAACAGCTTTTAACCAATACTAATTTGAAAACACTTGGTGCATTTTCATTTAAACAGACTGGAATAAATGATCTTAAAGTAGTATTGTTTAATTTGAATAATGCAGTCAAACAATCAGTCATAAGGCTTTGATTAAATTGATTATCATATGTCAAACTTCTAACAGGATCAAAAAGTCTTTCCTTTTTTCAAAAAACAATAATTAATGAATATAATTTGTTTTTCTATCTTCATTTTTATTTTATAAACATACCCGTAAATCATTCTCGATTTCTGGTACAATCAAACGTAAAGCCAACGAATCTTTCCTAGATACATAAGTTGAAGCTTTACATATATCAACACAACATTCAATAGCAACTTCAGCTGAACGAGATCTTTTTAGAGAAATTTTCAAAGTTTCAAGAAAAGCCACCTGAAATTATTCAAATTTTTACAATTATAAATTATCATATTTTAATTTTCAAAAAATATGGGTAATTTTTAATAATAATAAAGATACTTTTTTTGAAAGAATATCAGGGCATAAAATCAACAACATTGTTTGTAATGGCCAAAAAATTTTTTTTCTACGACTATTATCAGTTATGTTACTACAAATATCAAATAAAATTTCAGGTCCACCCTCCAGTTTTTTTTGGCTTTGACATAAAGCTACAAATTCTTCAGGAAAATTTTTAATCCAATTCCAAATAGATTTACGTAAAACCTGGGCCATTGCTGATTGTGCCGTCTTTTTAAGATTAAGAAATGAACCACATAGCTCTATATAAGCATTAACATTAACATTAATATATATTTAAATTTAAACTTAATTAAATTGATCATAAAAAAAATATGCCAAAACCTTGTATAACTATTGACAATCTTTTTGAATTTAAATCAGAGCATTCCAAAAACTTTAATTCCGCAGTCTCTGGTCTCTCATCATTTGTAGATGTCAAATAACCTATTCTGTTCTTAATTCTTGAAAACACAACATTCCAATTTGAGGCACTTATGTAAAAAATGACATGACCAGCATTCCTATAAATATCTGTAATAATTTCAAATATATTGGATGAACTTGAATTTAAATTTGCAAATAAATTTATTGAAGCCTGATCTTGAGCATTTATAATTGAAGTTTGCCTATCACTATTAGTATTATCTTCTAAATTAGCCATTTGTCTAAGAAACCTTGATAAAACACTTAAAATATATTTTGCAAGAGAATCATCTATAGGAGGAGGATCATCAAATGATTTTGGTAATATAAATACTCTATGACCATTTGTGAAATTATGATCATTATGATTAGATTTGGAATCCAAATGTGTTTGTGTAGTTTCTGATTGTATTTGTTTTACTAATGGCTCAGATGAATGATTTGTTCCTCGAACAAATGTCCAATGATTTATTACACATGCTGAAAGTATTTTAATAATGAATAATTGAGATTGTAAAATATCAATTGGAATGTTTTCTTCACTAGCATTCGGTAATGTTGTCTAATAAATCAAAATTTATCAATAATTACAAAAAAAATTTTCTGATATATAGTAAAATTAAATTCGTCATTATCAACCAATAGTTGATTGATAAATATATTTTAGATACCTTTGATATAGTCTCTAATAAATGTGCAAGATTATTTGCTATAACATTAAGTCTATATCTTGATAAATCGACTATGGAATTTACCGTATGCAATATTAAAGGATCCGATTCTAAACCCTCTAATTTCTTACCGCTATTACATGGTAACTTTTAAGAAAAAATTAATAAGCAAAGAGCTAGTTTATGAAACGAATTAAATCATTTAATATATGTGGAAATCGTTTGATTTAACGTACTTTCATATTAATTTTTGCAATTAGTGATAGTATTAATTTTGTATCTCCATTCATTTTCTTGCTTTTTAAAAAATTAAAATTAAATAGAGTTAATTATTATTATTTATAAATACAAAAAATTTACAATTTTTTTTTTTTATAAAGAAAGAATGATTCCAATTTCTTAAATACGAAATGATAGGCGTAACAACATGGTGCAAAAATTCTTTTTTCATAATTTCAACACCATATTTGGATGAAAATAAAGTTTATTAATCGGTAAGTCGGACGCAACAATCAATTGTTTAAAATATAATATAAATAAATGACCGACTTATCGAGTTTACATGTGTATATGGCGTGAATTTTAAAATTCACGATTATGAATTCCGAATATGATATATTTCCAAACTATCTTTTTACTGCCCGGCTGTGACAATAACCCTATTTATATAGTTTTCAGGGTCCGGCGGCATTTGAAAATGGATCTGAATGGGAAGGGGGGCACAAATCTCATAATGGAATGTGGTTTGGACTTACTGAGAACGTTAAAAGGTATCTTCATAAGTCTTGCACACAGGCAACTTTTCTGAAAATAGAATACGCAAGATTAATATTCTGGGGTTTATTCATTCAATTTGTGTTGGAATTGCTAATCCTAAAAAAGGAAGAATCGTCAAATTTGTAGTTGCCATAGTGACGAATCTCATAATGTTCTTTATATATATACATGTGCTATATATATATATTATTTCAAATTTGATTATGATTACATGCACAATAAAATATGCCTTTTCTCACCGATGGTTCCTGCATAACTTGAACCTTTCTTATTTCATAATGATAATGTGAAATAATTGAATTAATATATAATTATATGATTCCCTCAAAACCCAAATCAGAATAATAAAAAATCAAATTACATCCATTACAATAATATTAATAATTAACTGATGATAAAAGTAATTATAATTGACAATTGTTAATTAATTGATTAGAGATATTTATATCCTAAAATCTTATTACTTGTATGAAAAAAAAATCTTTCCTAGAATTATATATCAATAATAGATTCGTCTTCACCACCGACATCATCTTCATCAGAAACAATAAAAATTTCATTATCACCACCATTATGAGAATTAAAAATTTCATAATCACCATCATCTGTGTCACCATTGTCATTGTCGTCTATAATAATCATTTCGTTTCCCATCCTAAAATCAATTAATCTAAATTGTTGTCTGGCACTTTTAGTATTTCTAACGGACATTTTATTATCAAACGCATCACCGCTATCTAACAAATCCTTCACCCATAGTATTTCAACCTTCTCGTCATCTTGTCCATATTCTTTAATCAACTTTTTCTTTAGGCGATTCCAAGCTCTTTCTGTAAATGGTCTTTTATACTTCAATGCATTTCTAAATGATACACAACTTCGAAGTCTCTCCTCTTCATATTTTGGATTTCCTTCTTCATCCAACTCTTCAGACATTTCTTTGACTCTTCCAATTACTGCATTTGTACGATCTTGAGTTTGTACCAATTTGGTGTGTTCGATGTAAAGTTTTTCCCTTTCATCTTCTTCATGAAATGCTTTTATTTCATTGGTATATCTCGTGACATTATCTAATTCCTCATTTACCCATTTCTCACGTTCCTCTTCACTAGAAATTTCCATATATTTAAACGATTCCTTGAGTAAACTTTGAAACCACGATCTAGGTTCCCCAAATGCTGAGAATGATAAACTCTGCCATCTACTAATCGATCCTTCACGAACTGCATATGGTATTTTTTCACAATTTAAATTCGCATATCTATATGATAAATAAAAAAATTCTTATAATTATTATAATTATTAAAAAACATATATATATTAATAAAATATTACTAAAATAAATATTAATTGGCCTACTCTCTAAATTCAGGTATGCATCTTTTGCAAGACTTTACCAAGAAATCCCATGAAGTTATAATAGATTTCTTGTTAATTTTACAAAAATTACAACGTTTAATCATTAAGAAGAGAATATATTGTTTTTCATTTATTCCGCGAGGTGGTGGTGCTTGACGACAAGGAAAAGTTGAAATTCTTGATTTTCGCCAAATATTTTGAATAATTTTTGAATTAAAATTATTCAAAATGTTATTATACATTTTGCAAACTTGATTAAGTGATATCAATTCATTTGGTTCTAGGTTTCCACATATTTCAATGAAAATTTCAATTGGAATTTTTAAAATAGGTGATGCCACTGCATCCTCTTCTGCTGTTGTTGATGAAGAAGAGGTAGTAGATGTGGTTAAAGATATAGATGAGGACGTTGAAATTAATGATCTAGAAGTGGAAGAGAATGATGATGAACGCGATGAATGAGTGGATCTATAAATTTCTTCTCTTTTAACAGAAGGTGAACCAGAATAATTTTCAAAAACGAATATATTTGATTCCATATTTTTTTTCTATCCAAAGTTTAATGTATGTATTGTTTTTGTAGTCGGTTCTAACAAATATGTGTATGTTTAATGCTAAAAAATGTATTCAAAACTTTAGAGTATTATTATTAAAAAAATTTTTTTTGTATATAAAAAAGATAAATTTGATTTTATTCATTTTACACGCGTTTGAAAACACGCGTCTTCAGACTTTTTTGTCATACAAATTCGCTCAGGACCCCGAAAACAGCTATTGTAAATTTCCTATAATGTTAACAAAAAACCTATTTTAGTGTAACGTGTTAATCAGATAAAATATATTTTTCCATTTCCCACAATAATTAATTACAAAATGAGTGCCAATAATCCATACAGAGCTCTTAGTGACGCTGATGCAGCTGTTAATTATGAAGAGGAGGAGGCACGGGAATGGAGACAACAACCCTCTACTAGCAGAAGTAGAAGAGAAAACAGATATGATGATGGAAACTCTCAGTATAAGGATGATTCAGGTGGTGCTAAAAGGACTCCTGATGAAGTATGGCTGGTAGGTAGTATTTATTTTATGCTTGTTGCAGAATTGATTAATGGGGAAAGCCCCAATTAAATATAACAATAATGCTTCTACGACAATAGCTTCCACCTAACGTTCGTCCTGTTGTAATTCTTGGTGAAAGAGGAGACAACTTGAAACGTATACAAGATTCTACAAATACTCATATGATATTTAATAGTAAAACCTCGGTATTTTCTTATTACAGATAATTTATTTTTTCAATGTTCTAGTACAGGTAATTTAACTGATTCATATATTTTCTCATTTTAGCAAATTGAAATGTGGGGAAAAAGAGACGATTTAAAACAAGCTCTTAAGCAATGGAATAATCTGGCAGAAAATATACTTGAAAATATACTTGCGGTATATGGATTTCTTTTTAATTTTTTCTTTTGTGATTTTAAAAAGATTATTTTTCAATGTATATATATATAATATAGGAAAAGCAAAAAGCAAAAAGTGAAAGGAATAAAGGTTGGGCAAAACCTGAAAAGGCACTAACCGAGAAACAAAAACTTAAACAACAACTTAAAAAAGACCGTGAAAAGGAGGAGAAAGGTTATCGAGGATTTCCTCCTAAACATAAACCTTTCTATGGAATTTTTCTTCTTCCTAATACTGACATACCAACTTCAATAATTGTTGATGAAAATGAAAAAAGTGCAGCATTAGACCCAATTCGTGTTAAGACTAAATGTTATATATGGAATGAAATTAATGTAAGCTTAATATCTATCCTTCATATTTCCTATATTATATATATATATACACACGAACATAATATCATTTTTTTTAGTATATAAAAGTTGCTGGTAATACCTTAGAGTCTGTCGAAGATGCAACTATGAGAATTAAACATATCTATATTAAAACTAGTGCAGTAAATATTTTTTGAAGTTTATATATAAAGTAAATTTTTGGTTTAAAATAAAGCTTTAAACCAATGTACAAATATATATTTAATTTAGCTTCGGAGTATACCCCAACTTAAAAACGAAGATGATGGAAAAATCGAATTCAAAGGATGGATTTATCATTTAGTTGAAGAACCAAAGTTTCCATATTTGGTTAAAATATCAGACAAACCCCCATGGCTTCCTGCTCCATATGATACCAAAGATGTAAAAATTTTTGAGCCTGTTATTGATGGTAATCCTGAAGAATTAATTTTAAATGACAAATCCAAATATGACACCAGTATTTTAGAAGTGTAAGTTGATTATTTTAATTTTATTTTCGATAAGGCAATTCATATTAATTAATTAATTTTATTCAAAGTGTTCGTAACTCAAATCCTATAATGATTGAAGATGCTCTTAAACAAGCTTTAGGAACTGTTCATTTATTTGATGAAAAAATTAAAATGCGTATTAGGTAAACAATAATTAAAGAATAATTATCCATACATGCAAAAGAATTAATCATTAAGCTATATATATAGATTTGGATATGTTTGTCTTACGGATTTTCCAAAGGAGCCTTTATGGAATTTTGAAAGATTACATAATAAAGTTTTGCTTGATTCTCGCTTAAAGTCCAAGTTTAGCACATGGTAGTTTATTTAATTAATCAATTTATTATTAGTGTATATATATAATTTTAAACATGTGTATGTGCATTTACTCCTTAGTATTACAGATATCGAGGGGATTAAACAATTCTGTGCTGCTCTAGATGGTAAAGATGATGATGATGATGATGATGATGCTAAAAATAATCAATGGGATAATTCCCCAATACAAGAGTTTAAGATTTGCGCTACTCGCGCTCCGTTAAAACGTGATGATCAAACTTGGGGTTGTTCATTTGATGTCCAATTTAAAGGTGGTAAAGATGGTAAAATTGGATTATGGAGTGCAGTAACTGATGAAAAAAAAGTAATGGAAATTAATATGATATGTTTGGATAAGTAAGTTTTTGGTTTTTTTCGTTAATAGGAAGAAGAAATAATAACAATAATAGTAATTTTTATTATTTGGGTTTTTTCATAGTGATTATTCATGGCGTTTAGCTGTTGAAGCTGCTAGACATCTTTCTAATGATAAATTTTCTCCACAAGGAATATTTGTTTATAAATTAAGATTAAGGTAACAATAATAACATTAAAATAATAATAAATATTTTTTATATCAATATATTTATATTATAATATATTTATAGTCCTCGTAACCGTTTAATATATACCAACACTGATCATGTACAAGTCACTTCAATTTGTCAAAAAACTAAATGGAAATATTGGTGGGGTGAACATTATGTGGTTGAGGTGACAAGATATGAATATTGGAAATGTAGTAAATTTGCAAATATTTCAGCTGGTGTAGAAATTACTATGGATAAAGAAGAACCAGTTAGTGTTACATATGGAGTCACGGTAATATTTTTTATAAAAAAACTTTTTTTTATTCTTTATTGTCATAATAATGGTAGTTAATTATTAACTTATATGTTTACAGTTTTATAAAAAATCTTGGGACGATGATTTTGCTTATAATACTGCTTTGGATATTGGAGAGATTCCTGAATGGCATCCTAATGATATAATTTATGATCAAAAAATTGGTGGTATTAAAGGTTTAATCGATGAAATTCGAAATTTCTTGGATCAGTTACAACACAATATTCCAGCACCTCGTACATCTTACTATTAATAATATTTCTGAGATAAGGGTTTTTTGGTTTTCTAAGAAAAAATCATATGGGAACCTTTTTTAGCAAAAACGACCTTCTATTAAAATTGTTACACAAAAGGAAAATTGCCCCCTAAAATTTTTGATATATATACTGTTTTTAAAACTCGGTGATTGTCAAAGTTATTATTATTTATAAAGATTTTGTTTTCAAAGTAAACAAGCTTTTAATAAGTTTTATAAATCAAATAAAATTTGTATAATCAATATTCTATTTAATTATCAAAAATATTATTAAAAACATGTCTTTAATTAATTCAACACCAGAATAGAATTTGATTATGAAAAAAAATGATTTAAAATTATTTTTCAAAAGTTCTTGCAAATATATGAAAACAACAAATGATCCACATAATAGCTTTTGAAAAAATAGGTTTCAAAAACTTTTTTGAAAGATTTTGAACAAAAGCTTAGATAGAAAAAAGAAAAAGAAAGTTATATTAAAACACAATTGATGGTTTTTCAATTTGATATTTGTAAACCTGTGTTGTGTTATTAAAGACTTAAAGTCATAAGCATTTGTTGATTTAGGAAGAGTGAAAAATTTTATACTAAATTATGCTGAATTACATGGATTGCCATCTCCGATGAGATTTCATGATAATTCAGTCCCATTATTTATATAGAAACTCAGTATAATTATAATTCAGTTTAGGGAGCATGAAAAATGCTTTGATGATATATCCAAAATATACAATATATAGCTTTTTGGAGGCTTTGGGATCAATTAACACCAGATATTAAAATTTTAAATACTTCAAGTGATCTATGTGAGACTTGTAGATTAAATTAAAAACATCAAGTAATTATCCAGACATCTTGTAGCAGCAGATTGTGAAAGACAACATTATAATAAAATTATTGAAAAAATGCAAAAATGATTCAGCATTAACTCATATTTGCTATAATTATGCCCAAAGTGTTTCTGCGCCATATTCACCTCAACAAGTTGGTTCAATTTGTTTAAAATTCTTTTTAAAATAAATATTTTTGGTATATGTACTAAAAATAATGAGGGTGAAAATTATTAACTATAGGAGAAGATGAATTGCCAGAAGGAACATCAAAAGAGCTAACACAACTTAAATATGGTTTTAATTTTCTCTAAAAGATTCACAAAAAAAATTTATGTGACATGCAATAATTACTCAGGTCAAAATAAGAATAACCTATCACTCTGGTTTTGTTCATGGGTAATAATGTTGGGTTGGTATGAAAAAATATATGATCCTTGGACACACTAAATTTATTTGCGATGGATTTTTGGATCAATCAAAAAAATTTATAGAAATAGATGTATTAGTATTGTTGATCTTGCTGAAGAAGCTATAAATGATTCAAACAACAAAACATAATGATGAATCTGTAGATATAAAGGTGGCATAGGTTGGAGATGGTATGACTTTAGTTCACTATTTAAAATAGTTTTAGAAAATTACCAAATATAACAAAATACCATCATTTAGAAATGATATTGGAAAAGTTTATGTTGCTAAAAATTCTGGAAATTCCTTTTAAACTTCTAAAGAATGATAATTTTAACAAGATGGCTAATTAAATATTCTTGAGGCTGCTTCATTAACAGATGATAGAAAAAGATATTTGTATATAAAAATTTGTCAACATGTAGAAGATCCATTTAACATTATCTTCTTTGATTGTCTATCACAAAACTCTTAAATAAAATCCTAAAATAAATTTAAAAGAATTGAAATCTATTAAAGGCAAAAATGTTAAAAATGCCCAAATACAAATGAAAGAAAGCAAAGGAAGTACTATTGGAAATAAATATGAACTATCATCAATTATACAGTTGGCTAGTGGAACATTCCATTCAAGGTTAGAAGCTGATATATCTCTTAAACCTAGAGCCAATTGTTGGGCAAGTGATGTTGAATTTATCTAGATGGAACATTAGTAAGATTTGTGTTGTGTGATTATTAGTAAAACTAGCACAGCTAAAATATCTAACAATACCTACTGACAGTTTTAACTTCATCTTCTGAAGGTTATTTTCAATCTGTTCCAAGGTGATAGGTTTTTCTTTGTTTACTCTTAATGCTCCAATGTTAAGCAAACTAAAGATTCCTTCATATGCCATCTCAAACTAACAGAAATTTGAGTTAGAACCATTACAACAACAAAAAAATCCAAATTTTATATAGTTAGCACATAGTGTTCACAAGTTTAGTGATATATACTATTCCAATTAATGCGCACATGCTGCCAGTATGTCACAGGCAAAGCTAATGCCCTTGTGGGGCCCACATGTTGACACTAACTTTTGCGTGGTTTTGCAGAACATAGTAGCACAGTTTAGCCACCCTCCTCATGTTCCCAGGATTAAATCCTGTACACGGGCTAAATTGGATAACTAATGCTGATATGTTTGCTATTCAGGTGGAACCAAATCTGCAACACTCATCCTTCAGCTTAATGGGTCAGGCCATTTTTAGTTCACATAAAAAAAACTTACTTGGCAGGGTATTTTCAAAAGTTTTTGTCACTGAGTAGAATTTTGATCATATAGATTCGATACCAATGAAATTGCTTGCTGAACCACCCTCTTTACTTCTTCTTTTGGAATCCATGGTTCTTCCTTTACTGCTTGGTAGATGACAGTGGTGGCAGTTACATGAATGCTAATTAATTGATTGCACAAATAAACACATGCATTATTATGATCAGGTGTTGTACATATCAAAATTTTATCTTTACTCAGCCCCTCTGAAATATATGAAAAACCCATTGCTTTGCAGACATTATGTTCTAACTTCCACGATCTTCTGCAATTCTTTTCTAAGTATGTGTATACTTACCACCAATAAAATTCCTTGACCGTTACTTCTTTGCAAAAATAGGAAGTTCATAAATATATATTTGATTTTTTTTCTTAGATGCAGTATGAAATAGTTGAGTGTCTTTTCCATATCATTTTCTAAAATTATATTGATGAATTAGAAATTTCAAATTTGATAATCTAATCAATCAAATAATTGGATATGTTGTGCAACATTTTAATGGTATAAAATCAGTAAAATGTTTATGGGAACTTATGGAAAGTTGTGTCATAACTTGAGATTAGAAAATGAAGATTGGATGCATGTCATTGGCGCAGTAAAATGACACAGTAATGAATCATTTACAGAAACGAACCCAAATTTATTATATAGGAATAATATGGTTTTATCAGTTGGAAGCTGGCTCACACCAATTAAGATAAGTGTACATTTTTACAAGACTTGCTATTTATTTTTAAAATTTCAACAATTACATAATCAATATTATCTTGACTTAAGTTTGAAATGATTGATGTGGAAAACATTTTAACAGCTCTTATTTTTTCTTTACCAATACTAGAAAATAAATCATAAGTCTTCCTTGCCCTTTCCTTTCTTTTTTTCAAAGCATCATTGGTAATATCACTGAGGAGTTGTTTTTGAAGTTCATCATTAATGAGAGCCAAACACACACATTCCCCATGATTCAAATTTTTGTAATGATCAAGTTTTTTTTTTAAAACTACACCAAAATTGAAGTAACATTCAATAACTTCTCTATTTGCTATTTCACTTTTAGATTCGGTGTGTGTAATTTTGCTATAATGGTATAAAAATTATTGGTATTTTCACCAACTTCTATATATTATTTTCTTGGAATTTTCTGGTGCAGTAGTTGTCAATTCTTTGGTAAGCTTTTTCAATGTAGTAGATTCTTCCTTCTTACTCTGCTTCTTGGCTTTTTTACTGGAGGGCTTATCAGCAGATGTAGGATCCCCAACACGCTTGGATGGTAAAGTACTTGCAGTCAATGTTCCAGGTATATCAGATTCCATGTTTTGCGATTGATTATCATTGGAGTCCTCTTCTGCAATTGTGTCTAGACAAGATGGATCATTCTCTGCAAAAGCGTTGCTGATTTCTGGATTGAATAATTTTTCTTGTGACCCATCTATGCTCATACTTCTTTGGGACGACATTTGTATTAGTGGTGATTTTTCAACGATTTCGATTTCCGCGATGCAGTTTTTGCTAGGACAAATGGGTAATGTTTCTCTAATGTTCTCAAGACAAAGACGATGGAAGACGTGGCCACAAGTTAATACGGTGAAAGATTTTTTAAATAGATGTAAAAAAATTTCTTCATTGCATATCGTGCATGGTTCTAATTCAGGAATTTCAATACTACTTGCAATACTTTCAGGATATCCGTTTTTGAGAATATTCTATAAATTTAGAACAGGAACAAAATTCTATTTCTCTTGAAGTTAATCCTAATAATATTTTGAATCATAAATCGACAGAAGAAAAGAAATTAGATGATTTTCTGAATCGAGTGACGAAAGAAAAGGTTAGTAATTTGATGAGAGATCGAAATCAGGAAAAGAAACTATTACAGAGTAATGAAGATTCCACTTCGAGGATATTACAGCTGAGGCTCAAAGTACCATTATTGCGGGCAATGAACCTACGTTCTCTTCCGAAATAGCAGAAGCTAGTGCAACAGTGCTAAAATCTCCCTATAACCAAAGAGTAGAACAAGGTTTAATACGTGAATTATTGACGAGAAAAGTCTTTCGAATTCTATATCTGACAAACGAATTACTGTAAATATGCCAGACAGGGATGATCTGACTCTGGGTTCTGCACCATACTTAGCTCACTTATTTGATAAGGCTAAACAAACTGGTCAGAAAGAAATTTTACATTGGTATTATTATAGTGAGGAATTCGAAAAAAAGGTTATAGATATTAGTTCAAAAAACAATATTAATGATCAAATGGCAAAAACACAGATTTATGATGAAATGGGACCATATCTTCCTGGTGTTAAGAGAGAATATTTGTGTAAGATGACCCAAAAAGCTAAAAACATTTATACATTATTTAAAGGGATAGGGATAGATAAAATCAAACACATTACGTATAGCGCTGATGCAATTTCTAAACTAACAGTTGCACAAATTCAAAATATTATAAATCGTTTCCCTAAAAAGAGCACACACGTGATCGAATCATCAATCTTTAAGATTGTGTATCTACTTTACCTGCAATAAGTTACTATTTAACTTTTTTTAATTTCTAATAAAAGTTTATGAAAGTTAACACCTATGAGATGATGCAAGTAGAAACTATAGTTTTTTCCTGTTCTATTAATATAATTAAACTGGTTTTACGTCAAATTTATTTTAAAATTGGTTGGTTACAGCATAATGGACATTTGTTTATCACATATATAGATGTGCAATATTTTGAATAGTATTATTTCTGATATTCGTCAGTTCTTTTCAGAAATTTATCTTTTCTATATAACTAGCTAAGCTGTTTTCCTGACTTCTTCTTTCTTGTTGTGGCAGCATTCTAAAAGAAACAATTCAAGTTATTATGTACAGTTCACTCTCTCTATAACGAACCCTCTGTCCCTATATGTAATTTCTCTGCTTTTGGTCGTTATAGAGAGAGTTTATTAAGATGGTTGTTATAGAGAGAGAAATTAATTATAAAAAATTGAAACGGGGACAAAAGGGAAGTTCGTTATAGAGAAATTTTACTTAGTGGTCGTTATAGAGAGGGTTGTTATAGAGAGAGTAGACTGTATACACAACTTGATTATTTATGATTATTATGCATGTGTTACTATTACCGGAATTAAATTCGGACGCTCTAACTAATTCCGGAATTCTTAATTTTCATTTTTATTTATTTCTATTTTTATAACCTTATTTTATTAATTTAGTATCAGTCAGACAAGATTTCACGCGATCGACATGTCTACTACTCAACTGATTGCTGCTTTTATGAAATAAACTGAACATTTACGGAGTTATAAACATGATCACGGAGATATAGTGTAAATATTCTGGAGTGGCATTGTTTACAAGGTCAAGGTATTCTAATGATGCTAAAAGTGCTACATGAAACAGAAGGCCAATTAAAAGGAATTAAATAAAAAATAATAAAAATATGTCATAGCTACGTAAAATTTTACTATTAAAATCGAAAGAACTTTTTACTTGTCACTAGTACACCCACATGTAATTTTTTTAACAAGGAACGTGATATTTTTACGTTTATTTATTACAATTACAAACAAGCATAACATATAGAATCTATTTATAAAAATAATACAATTTTACATGCTTAACAACGATTCAAATTGCAAATATCTATAAAAAAATCCATAACTTGACATAGTGTATTGATTCTTATCTCACACCCCCAACCATTTAAACTAGTAAATGCGACATATTAAGACACCCAAGTGTTTATAAACAATAATTTAGATAAGCCTAATATTAAATTCATAACATGTCTACAAATTACAGTTGAAAGTAATACATTAATAAATAAAAGTTATTCAATCCATATATGTGCTTGCATAGTGACCAAATTGTCTACATATGAATGTACAAAATCAGGCAAACACAATCCACGAATTACAACAGATCCTACAAAACATCGTAATGTCCATTCTCAAAAAATAGAATGTCCATAGCATATTAATCTTTCTTTTCCAAAGTCAAGTAATGTAATAAAAATTAATTCCTTTGTAAATGCACACAATCGTTCTTTGAACACAATGATAGGTGAAATGGCACCTCAATTTCGGAAACTTACTTCTTCCATGTTGAAAGATATCAAAAAATATATAGTTAAAAAGCAAGGATGGACAAAAAATATCCGAAGGTGGTGAAAATTCTAAAATAAAAGGTCGTAAATGTGGAAAATGTAGACAATTTGGTCACTATGCAAGCACATATATGGATTGAATAACTTTTATTTATTAATGTATTACTTTCAACTGTAATTTGTAGACATGTTATGAATTTAATATTAGGCTTATCTAAATTATTGTTTATAAACACTTGGGTGTCTTAATATGTCGCATTTACTAGTTTAAATGGTTGGGGGCGTGGGATAAAGAATCAATACATTATGTCAAGTTATGGATTTTTTTATATAGATATTTCCAATTTGAATTGTTATTAAGTATGTAAAATTGTATTATTTTTATAAATAGATTCTATATGTTATGCTTGTTTGAATAAATAAACGTAAAAATATTTATGCTGATCTTTATTATTTTAGTAATGGTACCACCTGGGTACTATACCCACAATAGTAATTCTCTAATAAATAAATATAAAATTGTACAAAAAAAAAAAGAATGCCATTATTCAATTCCTATTGATTCTTTGGTAAACTTTATGATTAAATTCAAAGCTTTATCAATATGTTCTTTTTTTGTCCAACTACCACCAACTGAAAATCTAATTACCATTTGATCACCCAATTGTGTATGGGTAATAAAAATTTGTTTGGTGTCGTTTAATTTGTTTAATACTGATTCAGTTAATTCGTTAGACGTGAATTGATTTTCATTATCAGCCGGGGGAATTACATAAAAACAAACGAGAGAAAAAGAATAAGGTGCAGCAATTTTAAATAATTCGGGATATCGTAAAATCTCATTGTAAAAGTGATCCGATAGTTTTATTGACTGTAAAGAGGAAGAAATATATCAGTTAAAAAAAAAAAAATCAATATGTTCGATACTTTGTTAAATAAATAAATACCTCTCGAATATGTTTTCTTAATCCGCTTGCTCCATAATTTCTTACAACAAACCAAATTTTTAATGATCGAAATCTCCTTCCGACTATCACAAATCAATAATTAACATTTATTATTATTATTATTATTATTATTAATTGGTGAATGAATCAGAGATCTGCATTTTTAATAATAAATTTTGGTCCAATTGTCAACTTGTATTATTCTTGTGCCACAGGGTGATATTATTTTTATGTATGAATAAATTAATATAGTTTGTGTGATGAATAAAGACTTTTCTATGTAGGAAATACAGATTTGAGGGTCTCTCTGATTCATTCACAGATTGGCAATTAAAGTACTTACAAGGTATTTCCCAGTCTCGATAATCCAAAACTAATCCACTTTCGCTTGCAGCATTTCTTAAAAATGGCGGCGTAATCGATAATGCATTTAAAAGAAATGATCGATCTTTAATCCTATCAAAAAAAAAAAAATAATAATCATTATGAAGATATGAATATACAAAGATTTTACTAATAAATAAATAGATACTTTACCAAAAGCATGAGCAATCAAAAGTGGTCAATAACCATTTATGCATGTTAAATTCGAATGAATCAGCCTTTTCTAATCCTTTTGAATGATGTTGATACTCAGGGCAAACAAGGGCTGCACCAGCATATGCTGCGTCTACATTTAACCATATGTTTGTACCTTCAACTAGAAAACAAATTTTATTATTATTATGTAATGATAAATATAATGATTTAATTTATTTTATTTACTAGCTTCAGCAATTTCATCAATATGATCGACGGCGGCTGTGCTTGTTGTACCAATTGTTGCGTTAATAAAAAATGGAATCAATCCTTTAGCGATATCTTTTTCGATTACTTTTTTAACCGTTTCGCCGCGCAATGAATAATTTTCATCAGTTGGGAATAATGAAAATTTAGTATTTGCAATCATTGTAGCTTTCTTTACCATGGAATGTGCCTATTTTTAACATTATATAATAAATATGTGTGTGTGTGTGTATGTGTGTGTATATAATACACATGCACCGGCTATCTTACTTGATCTGAAGCGTACGCAATCAGCCGTGCGGAAACTTCGTCCAATTCTTTTTCACTAAGACCCTTCTTTTTGTATTCATCTAGTACTCTTTGCCTTGCTGCTATCAATGCAACCAAGATTCCTTCACTGGCAGTTCCTTGAATTACACCACCACCTTTCCCTTTACTAAGAAAACTAGAGTCTAAATTAATTAATTTAGCCATCCAATCAAGTACAATGGTTTCCAATTCTGTACAAGCTGGTGAACATATCCACTATTCAATCAAACATAACAAAAGACAAATATTTAATATTAATGTAGCCTGTTTATTAAAAAAATTAAATTCTTACATTGAATCCAATACAATTAAACATGTCGCTGTACATATCACCAAGAATTGCTGGAAACGACGATTCTGCCGGATAAAATGCAAAAAAATTTGGACTTTGCCAATGCGTAACTAATCAATCAATCATCAATCAGTTAATAATCCTTTAAAATAATTATTTTCAAGAAAAATATCTTGATGACTACATACCACCAGGAAAAATTTTTGTTTCTATATCAGATTGAACTTCGTCCCATGATTCTGGATCTATTAAGAAAGAAAGAAATTTTTGTAATTGATAACAATAACAACAAAAGAAAAATAATACTTTATATTAATAAATTACATTCGGGTGCTTCATTCGGAAGAAGTTTCGCGAGATAACCAGGTTCAACTTTCGATACAACTAAATAAAAGTAAAATATAACAAACGATTTCAAGAATTATATAAGAGTCAGTCAAAGTCCTTTATTTTTTGTTTAATAATAGCAATAATGGTGGTGGGGTGGGGTAGCGGTAGTAATAATAGTAATTTTTCAGTTCGAACCATCATAGTTATCAATTTCTTGGAAATATTTGCAAATTCTATCAATTGCCTCATATCCTCTTTTACGAAATTCTTTAATATCCATAATTTTATATTAATTTATTATGACTTTTAATGAGTATATCTTATTGTATTTTAGTATTCCAGGAAAACTTCAACAAGTAGGTTTTAAATACCTTTTTTTTTTTTTTTAACGACGCAGTACTGTTACGTTGTTTATTAGAATGAAAAAATTTATATATTATTATTTAATTAAGAATGAAAAAAATTTATATATTAATTAATTAATTAATGAACAAACACGGAAAAAAGATTAGAGGTTGACACTGCGCAAAATTCTTTAACCGGTTATTAACTGGTTAATTTAGTCACGTAGAATTTTTTAACTGGTAAATTCAATCACGCGCCTGTTGAATTTTACAGTGCGGATCAAAAGTTAAAATTTTGAAGTATTATGTGATCCACTCATTGGATTTTTAAAAAACACGCCACCATTCAATTCAGCTTTAAAAGGGGAGTCTATCAATCTAAAAAAAATTTGTCTCAAATTTTCTTTTCATAGTTTTCA